TGAGCTGCACTAGAGAAGGCAACGAGTGTTATCACTATGTCGGAGACACGCTAGCTTTCCCAAAAGGCAGACGAACTTAGAGTGGTTACAATCCTAATCCTAACCCTAACACTGGCCCAGCTAACCAATCACAACACACACTGGCCCAGCTAACCAATCACAGCACACCCTGGCCCAGCTAACCAATCGCAACACACACTGGCCCAGCTAACCAATCACAACACACACTGGCCCAGCTAACCAACCAATTCCATGAGCCTGCTCTGCTCTGATTGGTCAGATGGCCAGTCTTTTGTGATTGGTCTACGGCGTACAACGCATTATGCAAATGTGTTACCCCGTGAGGTGTAGCCATCATGGAAGTGGGATTCGAATTACTAACGACTCGTTTCAGCTGTTCAGTGTCGATTCTTTATTTTGGTAGACAATAACTTTATTTATCGTGCACTTTCAGCTTTACAACTTTGCAGATCGTTTACATTCACATACAGCTACATTACACACTGCATGAAAGGCAATATTGGAAATGGCATAATAGAGGCACTTTAAATTTAGTTGGAACAGTCACCTCTAACTGATGACCTAGTCTGCCTGATACTGTCCTTACAGAAAGTCACACATTGTTTAAGAGGTAGTGGTGCAAGATCATGAAATAGTTTGTACATCAAACACACATCAGCAAATAATAAAAAAATGTCAAACGTCAACAATTTATAATTTTTAATAATATTGCAGTGATGATAACTCCTTGGCTTTTTAGCTAAGATTTTCACAGCTTGTTTATAAATAGTATATAATGGTTTTAACGTAGTTATACTTGTATGAGACCAACTTGTAGCACAGTAAGTTAAATGAGGGAGGATCACTGTATGCATAAAGAGTTTAACAGCAGCCACAGGTAATTGATGCCTAATATTCCTGAAGATCATCAAGCTTGCTCTAGTACTTTTAGAGGTCTTTTTAATATGTTTTTTAAAATTAATTTAGAATCCATAATCATACCCAAATATTTAAAATGCTCAACAATATTTATTACCTCTCCTTTAACTAAAATATCTGGACAACGCTCATCAACTTTCTTGATCGAAAAAAACATTCCCACAGTTTTACTCACATTAAGA